ATGCTCATCAAATATAAATATAACATTAGAGTGATCAAAAAGGCATTTCAGGGCGGCTACTACACTCCCATGTTCATTCAAGATATGCAGCAGGGCCTGCTATCTTTGACTTTCGTGATTCCATCTTTTCCCAAGCCAGTTGCCCCTGGGGTGGTCTCCTCCTCCGATGCTCAGGTGGCAGTGCCCGGATTAGGGTCAAGCATGGTGGGAGGTGCCTGACTGCGGGTACCCGGGGGGAGGTGCCTGACTGTGGGTACCTGGGGGGAGGTGCCTGACTGCGGGCACCCGGGGGGAGGTGCCTGACTGTGGGTACCTGGGGGGAGGTGCCTGACTGCGGGCACCTGGCAGCCAGGAAAAGGTGCAGCTGCCCGGCAGAGGCTGGGGTGGGAGGGAGGCTGACTACACAATGGCCAGTGGGAATTTTCTGGGCGGATGGAAATATTCTATATCTTGGTTATTGTAGTGGTTATACAACTCTATGAATTTGTCTAAACTCAGATTTGTACACTAAAAACGGTGAATTTTACTATCTGTAAATTATACCTCAATACACCTCAAACATTTAAGCTAAGGACAACAGAAGTGTCAGTAAGGTGGGTGTCCATGGTGACACTGCAATATCCGGGATCAGAGGAGCAGTTGAGATCTGGGGGTGTCTTCACACGGAGGGCGAACGGAGGCCTGTGTTCTTGGTGTGAGTCCCTGCCTGCCTGCTGGGAAACCCCGAGCCACAATGGAGAAGACCCCAAATCATACTTTCCCCTCCTGCCAACAACTGTGGCCTTTTCCCCGACCAGAGGGGAAACAGAGAGAACTGAGTCAGAGACTGAATTTCAGAGCTGGCTCTGTCGGCGGCCAACTCAGCCTCTCAAAGCTTTCGTTCCCTCATCTGCAAAACGGGGACAGTGGCTGGCACCTCGCAGAGCCCAGTGAGGGAGAGATGAGATGAGATGAGATGAGAGATGGCATGAGAGCGCCAAGCCCAGTGCCCAGCTGAGAAGGGCTTCCTGACACATGTGGGCGTCGCCTTGCGGGGAGAGGCCACCAGCAGGCCTGGCTTGAATTCTTGTTGCACTTCTTACAAGCTGTGTGACCTGCAACAAGTGTCTTAACCTCTCTGGGCCCTGACTTCTTCATTGATAAAATGATCATATGTTTTTTTGGCCCCATAAGATTGTTGTAAGGATTCAGTGAATACAAAGGCCTTAACCTGGGCCTAGCATGTAGTGAGCACTCAGGAAGAGCTATCCCATTATTATCATAGGGTTGCCAAATTTAGCAAATAAAAATATGGGACTGCTAACTTAATTCGGAATTGCTGGTAAACAATGAATTTATTTTATTTTATTTTATTTTTATTTATTTATTTTTTTAGTATTAGGATTTCCCACGCAGGCTTTGGGACATACTTATACTAAAAAGTATTCATGACATAATTATACTAAAAAATGTGTGTTGTTTGTCTGAAATTAAAATTTAAGTGAGCAATCTATTAAGAGGGGACCCAAATTCGGGGTACTAGGAGAATGGGACTAAACCTGAAGGTGAGTCGAGGGGCGAATTACTTCCATTTTCGCCTCCCTGCAGCCCTCCAAACCTCACCTTCTTCCGGAAGCTCCCTTGATGGAACTCGGGCAGCCCTTCCTTCTCGGTCCTGCTTTTGTTCAGGCTGCCTGCCGATGTCATCCTAGCTCGTGCCTGGGCTGGTGCTGCCCTACGGGGTGTCCTGAAGTCACTTGTTGTGTGCGAGCTTGTGGCGGAGTAGCAGCCTCCAGGGCGAGCAGGGCCAGCAGGGCGAGCGCCTCCGGCCTTTCCCGGGCCCTCGGGGCAGCGGGTGCAGCACCCACGGCAGGCAGGCTCGCGTGCCTGGGGCTGATGGCTGAGTGGCAGCGCTGCTCTTACATAATTGGTTTCTCTCCTCCTTTCTCTTTCCAGAGCCAGATTTCACACTGAGCAGCTGCAGACGGAGAAATCAGAGAAAGCACAACCAGCCTCGGATTCCGACGGGCCTGCCGGGCGCTCCGCCTGCTCCGGAGGGAAGCCCTGAGGCCGCTCTTTCGGGCCAGGTCTCCGCTGCCATGGAACCCGCAGCCGCCACCCCCCGGCTGCCCTCCGCACTGCCGGGCAGATAAGGGTGGCGCTGCCCCGGGGAGCACCTGCGACCCTGCCAGGCCATCCTCCCTGGCCAGCCCTTCTTCCGCTTTGGGCCACCTGTGCTGACCTGATGCCATGTAGGCCCCCTCGGGCCTCTGGGGACAGACACACCACCGGGGACGCCGCCTCTGCAGCCTGGGGGACCCTGCGCACCACCATGCCCCGGGGATTCGCCTGGCTCCACTGTGAGTACTGGGGGGTCCGGCGGGGGGGTGGGGGGGTGAGGACTGCCCCAGGGAGGTCTTGGCCCAGAACCAGGCTCTGCCGTAACCATAGCAACTGGGCCATTCTTGCTGGTGAGAAGTTGAGATGCTTCCCAGCCTAGTGCAGTGCCCTCGGGGCTCCCCGCCCGCCCTCCACCCCATCTCCAGCTGACCCGCTCAGGCGCCTGGCGGGTGTGAGTCACGCACTGGGTGGGCGTCCGCGGTGGTGGCCGTGGCGCAGGCCTGGGGGCGTCGGTGGCAGATGTACCTTCCCAGACTCGAGGTGCTAGGAGTACCGCGGGGACCGAGGGGGCAGAGAGAGGATTTCTAGCCGCCCTGGGTGTGGCCAGCAGGCGGTGGGGGCTTGTGACAGTGTCTGGTCCCCCAGACACGTGGGAGACGTGCGGCCGGTGCCTCAGAAGGCAGCTGGTTTCTCCGTGAGGAACAGAATTAAAAGGCGGAGGGAGAGCAGTTTGTTGGGGAAAAGAAAAATAAGTTAAAATGAGGACAGAAAGGAAAGGCCTAGAAACCTCTCGAGCTGCTGGCGGGGCCCCGACCAGGGTCCCTGCAGACTCTGAGAGTCAGTGTGAGTGAGTCAAACTCAGCACGTGCTTCTGGTGCCTCCCATGTGCCCGCACGGGTAGGCCCCGGGAGCTCTGTGCTTGCTGCACGGACAAGGTCGGGACTTGACCCTTCGAGGAGCTGGCAGAGGAGTTGGGTCCAATCCGGCCCTCGTGGAAGGATCTTGCAAAGGGTCAGAGCTCTTAGAACAGTGGGGGGACAGAGACCACGTGTTCTGGACGTTTCCAGGCCGTGAGGAGCAGGCGGAGCCGCATGGGTGAGAAGCCACTTGAAATGTCTGGACGGTGGGCAGTGTCCAGGCAGGTGGCCGGGTAGAGGGACCCGCGTGAGCAGAGGCTCAGTGGGCGGAGAGAGGCGGATGGAGAGCTGGTTCGTGAGAGCAGGGGCTGCTGGAGGTTCATGGCCGGACCTGGGGGTGGGGCCGTGACAAGGTCCGCTGCTTTTGGAAGAGGAACCTGGCCATACTTGCAGGAGCTGCTGTTGCAAACTTCTGGACAGGAAGTGATGAGACCAGTTCCGGAGACTGAGACGGGAGCAAGGATGGGAGGGCGTGGCATAAGGGACAAGGCTGGGGAGGCAGCTGGCGGGACTGGGTGTGGAATGAGAGGGTTGGGATGCAGACCGGGGCCTGCAGAGGGGCTGGGCTTCAAACAGCAGAAATTCATTCTGTCTCCGCGCCAGAGGCCAGAAGCCTGAAATCAAGGTGTGGCCGGGCCACTCTCCCCCTGAGGGCTCCGGGGAGGACCCTCCCTGCCTCTTCCCCCCTCTGGTGGCTCCTGGGGTTCCTTGGCTTGTGACAGCGTCACCCCAGCCCCTGCCTTCACATGGCCTTTCCCTCTGTGTCCCCCCCCCTCTTCATTTAGGGTCGGCCTTCATTACATCTGCAGATTCTGTTTCTAAATAAGCTTGCATATGAGGTTCTGGGTAAATAGGACATTTTTGGGGTGCTGTATGCATCCCTGCACATGGTGGTGGACACACCCTATTTATGCACCAATGGGCTGCCTGGGGGAGAGGCGCAGCCCCCACCCGGGGAACAATGGCAAGGGGGAGGGGCCCCTCCTCACGCTGCCCTTTCTCCAGCCTCCTCTCTGTCTTTCTGGCCCGAGCCAGGTACCTCTGGAGGGGCGGGCAAGGTGGGTCTCTCAACCAGGGCCAGGTGTGCCCGGCTGTGGGGCTCTCGGGGTGCTGTCCCTGCCTGGGCACCCGTTTGCTGGCCTGTTTCCGGGGTGGAGGCAGCGGAAAAGAAGCTTGAAATTGGAAATGGACAGCCGACTTGGAGGAAGGCCGTCTGGGGGGCAGAGCCCCTGTGGACAGGGTTCTGGCGCAGCTCCGGGTGCCCGGCTGGGAGGCGCTGGCGCGCTGAGACTCGGTCCCGACCACGAGCCCACAGTTGCCAGGTGCTGGAGGCTCTGGACCAGGACACAGCTGGGTCAGCTGGGGCAGGACGTGGGGTGGGAGAGCAGCCAGTGCTGACTGCCGCCTGGGGAAGAAGACCCAGTGTGGACAGATGCTGACTTTTAAAGAAAAGGTGGGAATTCAGGTTTTTAGGTGAAATCTCTGTGAACCAGATGTGGCCCTTGGGACACCAGTTTGCAGCTGCCGCTCTAGGTCAGCGGTTCTCAACGTGTGGTCCCCAGACGGCCGGCAGCGTCACCTGGGCGCTGTTAGAAATGCCCGGTCTCGGGCCCCACCCTGACCTGCCGAGTCAGACCCTCGGGTGGGGCCCTGCCTGCTACCCTTCCCCTGCTCGAGGGGAACCCCAAACAAGCCTGGGGTGTGGTTACCAAATCATGTGTTTACATACTAGGGGCTAAGTTGTCTGGTGACGATCATACGTGAGTGGACAGATGGTGCCAGAGGCCAGGATTGGTGGGGGCTGGTGGAGGCAGGGAGGACCCTGGGGAGGGCAGCGGTCAGGGTGATGGTCTGCAGTGTGCGAGGGTACCCAGGGCAGCGACAAAGCGTGAGCAAAACCTGAGGCAGGAATGGCCTTGACCTGCGGGGATGCCAAGCCGAGAAGGTCAAGGTCAAGGACTTAGAGACAAGACCGGAAGCAAGCTGGTTCTGTTTGTGTTGATCTAGTTCCTTTGTCCCAATACTGGTTTGAGCACCTGGGAAGAGAAAGAAAGAGAGCGAGGGAGCGTAGGATGGGTGGCAGACGTGCAACCTTGAGAACAATGTGGTTGTCAGGGTTCCTCGAGGGGAAGGGCTGTGAGCTGGTGGCCCTTGTGGGGCACAGGGTTTGAGTGGACCTCAGGCCGCTCCCGGTGAGGGGCCCACAGGAGCAGAGGCCCGGCGGCGGGATGAGGACGCAGGGAGGTGACGGTGAGCAGGCCCAGGCGAGTAGGGTTTGGGGACAGGGCTTCCTAAGGACCAGGAAGGTGAGTGGGGAATGTCCGTCAGTAACGCCTCCGCCTAACCAGGGTGGGTCCAGGAGAGGACTCAGCCCGCCTGGCTGATTTTTGGAGAAAAAAAAGAAAAAGAAGAAAAGAAAAGATTGCTTCTGACTATAACAATAATAGCCATTGACTGTAGAAGATAAACTATATCCTGTAGAGCATAAAGAACATAATTTGGGACAGTTCTTCCCACCACACTTGCTATGCAGGCAGACGTGTAATGAGCAGAATTCAAGTCATACTTGAATTATAGCCTCAGATAGAGTATTGGGTTATGCTTTAAAGAAAACTTCCCCCAGCATATCCTGGGCACTTTTCTTACCACATAAACATGTCAGAAAGCATTCTTTCACAATGTGACTTTTATTGGCTACATTAAGTGTTATTAAACATTCAGGTCACTATTATGAAATAATGCTGCCATGGAAGTCTTTGTCTGTAAATCTTTTGGTTTACAGCTCTCTTTTTTGTTTTCTTTTGGGTTTCTTCCTAGAAATGAATTTAATGTGTCAAAGGGTGTGGACGTTATTAATTCCATTAATAACAAAAGTTGCCAAATTGCTCTCCAGGATGAGTATCCGCCTTACTACTGTTGCCAGCACCAACTGCTATTACAATAAAATTAAACAAACAAAACCATTTTCCATTTTGAAAGGTGAAATGTGATTATTTTAATGTGAATGTCCTTACCTTTTTTTTTAAAAAAAAATATTTATTGATTTCAGAAAGGAAGGGAGAGAGAGAGAGATCGAAACATCAATGATGAAAGAGAATCATTGATTGGCTGCCTCTTGCACACCCCCCAGTGGGGATCGAGCCCACAACCCTGGCATGTGCCCTTGACTGGAATCTAACCCGGGACCCTCCAGTCCGCAGGCCGCTGCTCTATCCACTGAGCCAAACCAGCTAGGGCCTGAATGTCCTTATCTTTATTAGTGAGGTTGACTTTTTTGGACACGTCTCTTGTCCATTTATATTTTGTTCTTTCTGCTCTGATTGATGTAGCTGTTGTTCATATATATATATATTTTTTTTTTTTTGCAAATCCTCCAAGAGATTTTTGGTAAGTCAGCTCAGTTACAGGAAATCACACAGGCTATTTTTGAAGTCACAGCGACCCCCAGTGGTAAAGGTTGGTAACATCCAGAAGGCAGCAGCTCATTCCTTGGCAGGGAGTGTGAGAAACCACCTGAGTGAGGTTCGCTTAGCATCCAGAATGAGCAAACCAGGTGGGCCCCTACAATCCCACTGGTGCATCCAACCGAGATGGATGCCGAGGTCAGGTAGGCAGGAGGAAAATGGTCACCAAGAGTCATGTCTAGGGTTGGAACTGGAACCGACGTCTCCTGAACCCCCAGGTGGAAAAGGCAGCAGCAGGCTTTGGAAACAGGTCCGCGCTGCAGGCGGTGCTGAGGTGGCCCGGCAGGGAGGGGGTGCCTGCCTTGTGGGGAGGAGACGAGACCTGCCTCAGGGGCTGGCTTCCGGCCAGGAGCAGACAGGCCGGATGGCTCCTTCCCGCCTGGCTTCGCCCCCACCCCTCCCGCCTCGCCCACGGGGACTGGTGACCGGGAAGAGGGAGGGCTGGGCAGTGTGGCAGCGGGCAGGCTGCTCATGTGTTCCTGTTGGGCACGGTCCACAGATCTCGGCATCCTCCTTGGCATGGCTTTGGGGAACCAGGACCTGGAGGTGTGGCCCCTGACGCAGAGCAAGGAGTGCGCCCTCACCGGCATCCTGCGGGACAGGCTGCAGTACGGGAACCGCCTTCAGTACATGGTAACCCGGTGGCCCCCGCCGTGGCCCCCAACCCAAGCCCCTTGGCTGATGGGACGGAGGGGCCTGGACCTTCAGGGTCCCTCCTTGGACCTGTGTCAGCCCTGAGCCTGCAGGCTCCTTTCTCTGCCTTTCTCCACTCCCTGCCTGCCCCCGCCCCGCCCCGCCCGCCCTGGTCCCCTGGCCTGCACGTACTGTCCCCCTCCCTCCTGCCGGCCGTCCCTGGGGGCCTCCCCCCTCCCACTCAGTCTGACTTTGGTCCCGTCTCCATGTGGCACTCACCCTGTGATTCAGGAATGGACTCCAGGAAGCTTCGGGGGGTGACCTCAGACACCTCTTATTCTTAGCGGGGAGATAGGGACCTAGACATTGGAGGAAGGCTCTTTTCATAGGGTGGGGAGGCCCCTGTAGCATGTTCCTTTTTAAAACACTTTTACTGAGATCTGATTCACATACAGTGGGGCCTTGACTTATGAGTTTAATTCGTTCCGTGATGGAGCACGTAACTCAAATTACTCGTATGTCAAATCAAAAAGTGAACGAGTGAGACACATGATGCTGGGCTGATGTTGTGGCGTTCACTGTGACGTTCGCTGCGCCAACTAGCGGTGGGGTATCTGAAGCTGGCTCGTAACCCGAATTTTAGCTCGCAACTCAAAGCAAAAAATCGGCCGAGAGACGGCTCGTATCTCGAAAAACTCGTTAGTCGGGACACTCGTAAGTCAAGGCCCCACTGTACCACATAATTCACTCATTTGCGTGCACACTCGTGGGTTTAGTACAGTGATGGCGAACCTTTTGAGCTCAGCCTGTCAGCATTTTGAAAAACCCTAACCTAACTCTGGTGCCGTGTCACATATAGAAATTTTTTGATATTTGCAACCATAGTAAAACAAAGACTTATATTTTTGATATTTATTTTATATATTTAAATGCCATTTTTAAAAAAATATATTTTATTGATTTTTTACAGAGAGGAAGGGAGA